TCTTAAGCAAAGCAAAGGAAAACGAACCGCTTCGAGTGCTTTGAGTAGGCGATCTTCGTCCACAAATGGGAGTAGAGCAACACCTTGCCACGCATACTTCTTCCCATTTAAATCAATACGAAAGTCTATAGGATACAAGTCAATGATAGGCGAATCATCGTCAGTCATTAATTTTTGCCAGTGGATAGGAAGATGTTGCCTGAAATGCCTCTAACGTTAAAGAAAACATGAAAGTGACTGAACCTATCATGCCAATTACCGATCAAATAGATGAATTCATAAAATGCTTCAAAAACAAACTTGCTAGCTGCGGGAAACACACTCATTAGCTGTTGTAGCGGTTTGAAAGGCTTTGTTGGACGGGAAAAATCTGGCTTAAACTGTGCAACCGTGTCAAAATCGCTAGCGAATGGAGCATAATGATAAGGAAAGTACCAATCCCAGCTAACGCATCCCTAAACATAGATATGAGTCTGAATGTGATCACAGGACACATCCGCACATCTTTGATATGATATACTTACCTGGTAGTAATACTTGAGCACCCAACAGAGCCCTTCAACATATGCCCACGCCACTTTTCTTCTAAAGTTAACATCATCTGCTCCAACATCGAACTTCGCTCTAAATCATTTATTTTAAAATGAAACAACTACTAGAGATAGATCCTACACACCTATAATAACGATCCTTCCAACCTGACTCGAACAAGCGTATTTCGTCAGGGGGGTCCTCGTCAGAATCAACGTCTATTGGAGCCTGAATATCTATGTTTATGAACTGAAGAGTCTACGTGAGACAGCAGAGAACATACCTCTGCCTTTCTTTTTCTGCTCTCATGGTCAATCCCGTTATTTGTGCTATCAGGTGAGCCTTCCTCTTTCAACATTAACTTTAATCTTTTAGCTGCCTCCTCGTTCTCGGCATACTGCATAGCCTAAGCAATAAAAGATGTTCAGTAAAAGTCTAAATAATCGGCTTTGAAATTTGGAGAACATGAACTACCTCAATTCTAGCATTGGCAGCTAGAGAGCGCGTTGTCTCACCACTCAAAGGGGTGGCTCTCGACAAGGGAGCAATGAGTGAGCCAGATTGAGGTACGTAGGAAGGTGCTTGTGGGCGACGTCCGCCACTTAGTCGAGCCTTCTTCGCTTTCCGTATAGCTTTAAAACGCTCCTCATCTTGCTGAAATTGGCATTGTATAGAAAGCCATAAAAACAGCAAATTTCTAAAAGTTGAATGCAATTAGAAGTCATAAAAGTAATTTAAATATCTTACAAGCCAAAAATATGGCCTTGCAAAAGTAAAAAATCATCGAAGAACTTATTAAATTAATCTAGGTTCCAACCTGACGACGCTTGAATATTTCATCTTCTACTTCTCCAAGTCCCAGCATAATACGCTCTACGCGATCCATGTAAACATCGCCATCCTTGGTCAAATACCTAAGGAATAATAGAATCAGAAACTAAGACGCAGCACATTTGTGCACAAGTACCCTTTCATGCTGTAAACCATATCCTTATACAATTTAATCAAACGATCGATGGCACCTTCCCGAATTTCCAGCGACGGAAGATGGGGAAGGAAGTCATTACCAACAAAGAAGCAAAGGAAAACCTGAACATCCTCAAATATTCAAATATTCTCGTGAGTTTTAGAGAAGGAAAACTTACCCAATCGTCTATGACCCGTTCAAAGTCATATTTGAAAGGTAAATTTTCCATGGTAAGGTCTCTTTCGAGGTACTCTCTCAAAACAGGAATCCTCAAAAAAATGAAGTTCTTCTCTTTCGATATAGGATCAGCATGTTCCGGGCCTTTTTCCTCGTTTTCCAAACTAGAAATGAAAATGAAAGCATATTTCCAACAAAAAAA